ATGTTCAGTCCAAATATGGAGGTACCACATAGGAGAAATAGAATTGAGGAATACCAGCTGAAAAAGTTCTTATTCACCCTCTAGTTCAATCTCAGCCTCACAAATTAGAAAACAAACCCAGAGAGGCCGAGAGACTTACTTAAGGTCACATGGTTATTCGTAGATCTATAATTCACACTTTCTGCTGCCTGAACCAAAAGTCCGCTGTAGTAAAAATTATAGTCAACATTTACGGAGCACTTGCTAAGCACTAGGCTCTGGGCTAAATGCTTTTCAAAACTTTCAACAGTTCACAAAATCAATGAAATAGAAAGTATTTCAAATGTAAAAGAAAAACATAGTCAGTCCTCTCTAACAATTTTTCTGTGGATGTTTCATTTGCTTTTTTAAACAGAAGCTGCTGACGTACATGCCTTTCCACCCTTCCAGATTCGAAGTCTGCAAAGGGCTCCTAGGTGTACTCCACTGAGCTGTGTTTTGAAAGCTAAATAAGCATTAACTTATTCACAACAAAAGCCTGATCTATTTCTATTAAGGCTGCAGAGAGGTTTGGAAAGCACAGATTTCTCCCTGTTTTTCCTCCCTTAGTTTGTTCACCAATTACTTCTTCCCTCTCTTCCTTCTTTTTCCCTTCCCTCCCTCTCTCCCCAGCTTCTCCCACTTTCTTTCCTCTCTCTGTCTCCCTCCCTTTCTTTCTTCCATTCTAGAAAGTGAGGTATTTTCCAGCACCTGTAATCTGTACACTTTGGGAGGCCGAGGTGAGAGGATTGCTTGAGGCCAGGAGTTTGAGATCAGTCCGGGCAACATAGCAAGACCCTACAGCAAATTTTTTGTATAAAAAATTTAAAAATTAGGCAGGCTTGGTGGCACATGCCAATAGTCCCAGCTACTTGGGAGGCTGAGGCAGGAGGATCACCCAGAAGTTCGAGGCTGTGGTGAACTACGATTGCCCATGGCACTCCAAACTGGATGACAGAGTGAGACCCCATCTCTATAAAAAATAAAAAATGAAAAATAAAGATAATCCCAGCACTTCGGGAGGCTGAGGGCGGGCAGATCACCTGAGGTCAGGAGTTCGAGACCAGCCTGGCCAACATGGTGAAACCCCATCTCTACTAATAGTACAAAAATTAGCTGGGTGTGGTGGCACACGCCTGTAATCCCAGCTGCTCGGGAGGCTGAGGCAGGAGAATCGCTTGAACCTGGGAGGCAGAGATTGCAGTTAGCCCAGATTGTGCCACTGCAGTCCAGCCTGGATGACAGAGTGAGACTCCATCTCAAAAGAAAAAAAAAAAAAAAATGGAAGTGAGGTATTAAGAACTCTGTTGTGATTCAAAACTCCTTTTGATTTGTCTTGAACATGCAGTACATTGGAAATGCCGGGGCCTTAAGCATCATCCAAAGGGGGGTGGAGGCTAGAGAGGTAAAGGATTTTGCCTGAGGTCAACTAAATGAAATCCTACCAAGGTCAGACAGTGACTGACTATAAAGTAGGACTCCAATCAGCCCCAAGAGGAAAGCTACCAGAATAGCAAAGGCAAAGTCTAATTGGTTCTGGAGGTGTTATCCTTTTTAAATGACTTAATTCAATCTCAAACCAGCAAGCTCTTCACCTTCACTTGAAGGAGTGTAGGATCTTTTATCAGGAGCTGAAGAATGAAAAGCAAACTTCTAATCACTTTTTGAAACCCAGCTCTTCAAAATCCCCAGAGTTGAGGGCCAGGTAATGAGTGGGGCTTACACAGAGTAGGTTCTCAGAGATAGGGTTGGGACTTGGAAATACACATGACAGGCGGAGACAGAAATTTTATTAACCTGTACCTTAAAGTCCTTTAAAAGGACATTTGATTGTGGAATGAAACCAACACATTGAGAAGACTCAAAGTGGGGAGAACTTGAAATTAGTTTTGCACTTTCGAATCCTAGGTTTCCAGGCCCTCCATCCTCAGTGATTGGCTGGTGAGATTCTGAGCACTGAGCTGTTTATTTTCCCATCCCAATAACTTCAGCAAAGGAATCTCTGAAGTCCGGTGTGGAAGCTCAATGCATGGACCAGGCAGGAGGATCGCTTGAGGCCAGAAGTTTGAGACCAGCCTGGGCAACATAATGACACCCCCATCACTAGACAAATAAAATAATAATAATAATAATAATAATAATAATAATAATAATAAAAAAGAACCAGAGAGAGAGAGTGAGCCTGGGAGGTAAGTAGCATGCCACAGATCACTTAGCAATCTAGAAACAGATTCTGAATTCTAGGTCCCACTCAGAGAAGAGAAGGAGAAAGTGTGGCAGCCCTGACTTTTGTTCTTCAGAGGTAGCTTTGTATGGTGGAGATGGCCTGGAGCCAGGAGATAAGGCCATGTACTTTCTGGGCCTCAATTACTTCCCTTGTAAAATGAGAAAGAATTGGTCTACATTCCTATCTATATGTAAGAACCATGTGACTTTAGAATCATATTCAAATGGTAAAATGACATGTGATCCAATTGATTGATTGTTTTTTATTGTCCTGATTTTTCCCCCCATCCTGGTTTGTGGTTTGGCCGAAATGACTGAATTTAGGGAAATATCTTTGATGTCCCAAATTACCTGGAGGAATTTCATCTCACAATTTTTCTCAAAGGCCTTTAGGACTGCTGCATTTTTTTGAGATCCTTGCCTAGAAAACAATCTAGGAGCAGAACACGATGAGAGGTCAACAGCATTTTTTTTTTTTTTTTTAGATGGAGTCTTGTTCTGTTGCCCAGGCTGGAGTGCAGTGGCACGATCTTGGCTCAATGCAACTTCCACCTCCCGGGTTCAAGCAATTCTCCTGCCTCACCCTCCTGAGTAGCTGAGGCCTTCCACCACACCCAGCTAATTTTTGTATTTTTAGTAGAGGTGAGGTTTCTCTATGTTGGCCAGGCTAGTCTTGAACTCCTGATCTCAAATGATTCACCTATCTTGGCCTCTCAAAGTACTGGGATTACAAGGTGTGATGAGCCACCCCCCCCCCCTTTTTTTTTTTTTTTTTTGAGACACAGTCTTGCTTTTGTCACCCAGGCTGGAGTACAGTGGTGGGATCTTGGCTCTCTGCAACCTCTGCCTCCCAGGTTCAAGCGATTCTCCTGCCTCAGCCTCCTGAGTAGCTGGGATTACAGGCGTGTCCCACCATACCTGGCTAATTTTTGTATTTTTAGTAGAGACAGGGTTTCACCATGTTGGCCAGGCTGGTCTCGAACTCCTGACCTCAAATGATCCACCCACTTTGGCCTCCCACAGTGCTGGGATTATAGGTGTGAGCCACCGCACCCCGCCTGTTCAGCAGTATTAGTGAAATGTTTCCCCACCATGTTCAGTCTAAAGCCACACCTCTTCATGCCTACCAAGCCCTGCACTTTCTGGATCCTCCTTCCTTTCCAGCCTCCTATCATATCCTCTCTCCTCATTTAATTTATTTTGGACACACAGGCTTTCCTTTAGTTCCTCAAAGGCACAAAATTCTTTCCTAACTCAGGACTTGCGAGTTAGGAAGTCCTGAGTTAGGACTTTTTGGTCGCTTCCCTCTTTTTGGTTGCTTGGATGATTCAGGCCTGAATACCACATCATCAGTTGGGCCTTCACTGGTATTAATATTTGGACCTCCACTGACCACCTCATCTAAACTGAAATTGGACCACCCTATCCTTTCTCTTCAGAGCACTTAACATTATTTGTGTGTTTAATATCTGCTTCTCTAGACTGGAAAGTCCATGAAGTCAGAGGCTATCTCTTTTTCGTTCACCACTGCATTTCCTTGCATGTAGTAAGCCCTCAATAAATATTTACTGGCCTGGTGTGGTGGCTCACGCCTGTAATCCCAGCACTTTGGGAGGCCCAGGCGGACAGATCACTTGCAGTCAAGAGTTCGAGACCTGCCTGGCCAACATGATGAAACCCTAGTAAAAATACAAAAATTAGCCAGGCGTGATGGCGAATGCCTGTAATCCCAGCTACTTGGGAGGCGGATGCAGGAGCATAGCTTGAACCCAGGAGGCAGAGGCTGCAGTGAGCTGAGACTGCACCACTGTACTCCAGCCTGGGTGACAAAACGAGACTCATTTCAAAAAAAAAAAAAGAAAAAAATTTACTAAATAAATGAATGAATGCATTCACAGAACATTCCCAGCACAATCTGCTTTTATTGGTTGTTTCTATATGACACAATCTACATAAACACTTAGTGAAATTGCCACGTTGACCCTGTTTTGGTATTGTGGGAACAGCTATTGGCCCTTGGATAAGTTGGCAAGGATTCCAGTGTGTGTTTATGCAAATTGAATGGGCCTGTTTAGAGGCTCAGTAAGAACCCCAGGAGCCAGTTAATGCAAACTCAGTTCTCTCAATCTGACTTCTTGTAAAATTTCAGAGACATTCTCTTGACCAAGAAGATAACTGAGATTTCAAGTTAGAACTGTAGTATCCTTAAGAGAGAAAATCAAGTGACTCTCAAGTGACCGATTTTGCCTGAGTAAAATCGGAATTAAATCATATGTGGAATTACGACAGAGTCACTGGATGGCAATCAGTTTTGTTTTGTTTTTCTGGGACCACATGAAAAAGAGGTTATTTATTAAGAATGGAATAGTTCCTTTAAAATTCTGTAGCAATCATGTCTCTCTCTTTTTTTTTCTTTCCAGTCCATGGAAAGTGTTATCTCAGGCAGCTTTGTGCAGGAAGTTGGGTTTATCACTTCCTCACAGTTGCAGTTTGTCTAGGACTTAGCTACATGCTATCAGATTGCATCAAAATGTAGGCCTTTGTGTGTTTAACTCATCAAAGGAATGGGCCCTCAGGACTTGATATCACTTCACTGCATACGCAGCCATGTAGCAAAACAAAGCCTATCTAAACAGGACACAACTATTTCTGTTGTGTGGCAGCTCCGCTAGCTCGCGCTTTCAGAAATGGTTGGGTTTTGGGTTTCAGGTGTCTGCACTGTTTCACTTCTTGTTTTTATATTTATATCTTTTTAGAATTGCAGTCATTTGCCTGGTTATGTGCGAGGAAGGAAAACCCAAAATATTACCTATGAGGGAGGAGGTAAGATTGCCCCAATCCAGTGTCAGTTGGAGGTAGCACTAACCCTTACCTCATCTTCTTGCTATTCACTTGAGAACTCAGTTGCTGCGGTCTCAGTAGTCTGGGCTTCAGGGCTGGCCATGAGGGGGTTTCAAACCTTGACTTCTCTGTGTCCTGGGGCAATTATTTCACCTCTGAGCTTCAGTGTTCCCATCTGAAAAATGAAGTTGTTAATAGCACCTGCCTCATAGCTTCATGACATGGAATAAATGATACAGATTAAAGAATATATGAAGAGCACTTGTAAGAAGTGCTCCCCATGGGAGAGATATCAGGATTTTAAAGCCTGAGGGGATACCACACCCTAGGCCCTGCAAGAGCAACAAGACAAGCAGGCAGGGCAGCCAGTCCCAGGCTGGGCAGTTTCTCAGGCTGTACTTCCACCTTTGGGGCCTCATTACTATTTTCTTCTCCGTGGAGTTCCCTCTTCTCTGTGGTGGGCTTTCTGCCAGATGCTGCCTCTATTGGCGGCCACAGGAAGCCAATGCAACTGTGAAGTAATACTTCTGCCTCAGGCCTGGCTCCGCCCTATTGACCAAGGGTTTTTAGATCTGCTCAGCCAACTCTTTTTAGTGCCTTGCCTAAAAAGGACTTCTCACCCAGCCCTGCTGCACTAGGATATGGCTGGCTGCCCCGGAGGCTTCGGACAGAAAGTTTTCTGGAGAGCGAAAGGGTGGAGCGGACGTCTCCCTCTCAGCTCAATTCTTCAGGAGTTTGGGGTATCACTTTGTGGCAAGTCTCTCATATGATGCTCATTTACCAAAAGCAGGTGTCAAAGGAAGAGGGAGAGAGCTTGATTCTATACAATCTCTTTCAGCCAGTGGAATAGAATGAGGCACTCTTTAAAAAATGATTTGCATCAGGAAGTATGCGAACTTTCACAGGCCTATGACCGGAAAGAAATTTAAGTTACACCTAAAAACCTGTATGCTTTAAGAAGGTAAATGGTTTTTCTTTTTTAAAATCTGAAACGATTTTGCATAGAAAATTGAAACCAGCCTAAGGGTTTGTTGCTGCTTTTTTTTTTTTTTTGTCTCACTTGGCCAGAGAGACTTTATTGCTTCTTCATACATCAGTTATTCACTGATAGCTTGCTATCTTCATAGCTTCCTGCCATCCAGCCCCTGAGGTGGCAGGTGTCCTGTGAGCCACACTGTGCCTCAGCTGTTCAGAGATTCACTTTGGACACCAGTCACCTCCATTCAGTGCCGCTGGCTTAGGGTTGGTGCCACAGGTTCCCATCCATTGGATTTTGCCTCTATCTAGGCCCTGGGATGGGCTCTTAGGCCCTTAGTATAATAGCACATGATACTGTGGAATAGCCACAGCCACTCAGATCTGTTTCTTAGACTCCTCTTAATGGCCACAGGGTCAGTTTTACCTCACCCTCAAATCCTAAGCAGCACACAGATTCCCTGTGTGGCTCTGGTATCCTGGGCTTCCCCTTGACTAGGACTAGAGTTGGGACATTTGCCTACAGCCCTCTTAGGATAAATGTGACTGCTAAGTGAAGAGCAGCACTTTCTGTTAGACTGATGAAATTAAACTTCTTTTTTTCCAATTATAAAAGCAATAAATGTGTTTTCTTTACACACACACCCCCCCCATGCACAAAAATGCATAAAGTTTAAATTTTAAGACCTTCATATTAAGGCTCCTAATGATAATTTGTTTGTTGTATGCTGTTCTAAGATTTATTTCAGTACAATAAAAGCATTATAAAAAAGAAAAAGATAATGGGATGTATACATACTCTTCTGAAACTTACATGATTTCCTTCATAGTATATGTTGCATAGATTTAAATGTCAGTGTACACAGATTTACCTTCTTCTTTTGAGCAGCTCTGGCTATTCCACAGAATGATGTGCTATAATTTATTTACTCAATTCCTTATTGGTGGACATTGGACTATTTCAGACTTTTTGTTTGTTTGTTTTGTTTAACAAACAGTACAGTACCACTGAACATCCTTGTGCAAACATCTTTGTGCTTATGCGTATTTCTGTAGAATTGTTGGGTTAAAGGTACATACCCTTGAAATTTTAATATGCATTGCTAAATTGAGTACCAGTGTACCAGCCTGCAATCGACCCAAAAGTCTGAAAGGTCCTGTTTCCCCAAACGTGTATCAGCTCTAGTATTAGCACATTTTATAGAGCTGATAGGCAAAAAAAAAAAATTGTTTTCATTTGTGTTTCCTTTGTTATTCACAAAACCGAGCATCTTTTAAAGATGTGTTTTGGCTACCTGTATCTCTCCTCTGCGTTTTCTGTTTGTATTGTTTGTCCATTGAAAAGTTGGACAAATGAGCCAAAGTTGGACAAAGTTGAATTGTCTTTTTAATGACCTGAGCATCAGTTAGGATGTTTTGGGCTATAAATACAGAATTCTTGCTAAAAGGTGGCTTATATTTATTGCTTATTATATTCCAAACACAGTGTCTGGATGGAGGTAGGGCAATCCAGGGCTGGGAAGTGGCTTATTGATCTTGCACACAGACTCTTTCTGCTGTGTTTTACTCAGCTTGTCCTCTTGTGGTTCCAGACGGCTGCCACAGTTCCAGTCATCACATAACAACCATCTCCAAAACCCAAAAAGCCACTCCCCAACCCCCAAATCCTCAAGCTTCTCTTTTGATCATGGAGTAAAACTCTTCCTAGCAGCTTCCTTGCAGACATCAGCACCCCTCCTTCCCTCAGGTCTCATTGGCCAAGATTGGGTCACGTGTCCCTTTCCAAGCCAAGATGCCGATGCATCTGCTAATTTTTTTTTTTTTTTTTTTTTTTTAGACAAAGTCTGTTGCCCAAGCTGGAGTGCAGTGGCATGATCTTGGCTCACTGCAGCTTCCACCTCCTGGGTTCAGTGATCCTCCCACCTCAGCCTCCCAAGTAGCTGGGACCACAGGGGCATGCCACCACGCTCAGCTAATTTTTCATGGAGATGGAGTCTTGCTATGTTGCCCAGGCTGGTCTTGAACTCCTGGACTCAAGTGACCCACCTGCCATGGCCTCTCAAAGTGCTAGGATTACAAGTGTGAGGAACCAAGCCTGGGCCTGCATCTGATATTTTAAATAAAAATTTCCCCCTTTAGTTATCACATCTCCTGAATTAGTTGAAGCAGACACATGCAATTTGACTGTAATGCAACAATTTGAATTTAGGGGCAAATGCTGTATGCTATGCCTAAAATATAAGGATTGGGCCAGGCATAGTGGCTCACGCCTGTAATCCCAGCATTCTGGGAGGCTGAGGTGGGCAGATCACTTGAGGTCACAAGTTTGAGGCCAGCCTGATCAACATAGTGAAACCCCATCTCTAATAAAAATACAAAAATTAGCCAGCTGTGATGGCACGTGTCTGTAATCCCAGCTATTCAGGAGTTTGAGGGAGGAGAATTGCTTAAACCTGGGAGATGGAGGTTGTAGGAAGCCAAGATCGCGCCACTGTACTCCAGCCTAGGTAACAGAGTGAGATTCCGTCTCAAAAAAATAAAATATAATAAAATATAAGGATTGTTGGCTTTGAATGATGTATCTTTAAAGGCTAAATGTATGAGTTGAACATGAGCAGCCCAGCTCCATAATATCTGGTCACTCTCAGTAAGTCATAATGTCACCACTCAGCTCCCAAAAGTAGGATAACTCCATGGCCTTCTCTTCCAGGCAGCCAAAGGTAGAAGGATTGCCTCTCATTTTTGTAGCCACTGTTAGCCCAGCCAGGGTCCACTGGTGGAATTTCTAGACTTCTCCAGATGAGATGAGGGAGATTGTTTTCTTAAGGGTTGTAACAATATCTACCTTCTTTGATAGATGCTGAGCTCTGACTGGAACCATGAGAAGCTGTAACCCTCTTCATCTCTTTTGGGCCAAGGATCTGCCCTCTTTTGACACTGGGCAGAGTAAGAATGGGAGGTGGCAGTTACAGTGTATTTGTGCTTTGTTTATGTCTGGTGATTCAGCAAATCTCAGTCAGAGGAAATAGAAACCAATCTTAGTTATACCTTTGTAACTAGCAAAATGTCTTTTGATTGGACTAAGAGACCTCCTCGGGTTCACATTCTCTACATTCAGAGTCTTGCTGGCATCTTCTGGGTACCAAGGCACTCAGTTTTGGCTATGGACATGGAGGCTGCGTTCCAGAATCATTTCGGTAATTTTTATCCTTCTCCCTTGAGCTACTGTTTTTTTTTGTTTTTTGTTTTTTGTTTTTTAAAGACGGAGCTTTTCTCTGTCATCCAGGCTGGAATGCAGTTGCACGATCTTGGCTCACTAAAACCTCCGCCTCCCGGGTTCAAGCGATTCTCCTGCCTCAGCTTCCCAAGTAGCTGGGATTACAGGCGCCCGCCACCACGCCCAGCTAATTTTCGCCATGTTGGCCAGGTTGGCCTTGAAATTCCTGACCTCAGGTGATCCACCCGCCTTGGCCTCCCAAAGTGCTGGGATTACAAGTGTGAGCCACCGCGCCCGGCCCCTTGAGCCATTCTTCTTTTCTCTACAACAACTCCAAAATGAAAGTTCTAGCAAATGGCATTCCCCCTCTGCTTCCCTCCTTCCCCTATTCCCTATCCCATGATGAACAGAGCAGTTACAGTGATACCTAAACTGGGTGTTTATTAGGCTGAGGAATGTATTTGCTTTCATTTTTAATAATAGAGAATCCCGGACAGCTATTATTCAGATGTATTCCTAATTGTTTTGTTTCCAGGTATTATTGTATATGGACTTAAACATTTTCCTTTCCAATTTCTTGTTGCTAGTGTCTAGAAATAGAATTGATTTTTGTGTGTTAATTTTGCCTCCTGCTGTTTGTTTTAGTAGCTTTTTTTGTGTGTAGATTCCTTAGACTTTTCTGCATACATAGTCATACTCTGAACAGAGACATTTTTACTTTTTCCTTTCCAATTTGGATGGAAAGATGCCTCCTGCAGGCAGCCAGCTTGATGAGTAGTCACATGGTTTC